GGAGCCTCTTCCGGGTCTCCCACGCGGGTACAGGGTCCCAAAGCTTTGGGCCGTCCTCGACTGCTTTCCCGGGCCACAGGCAGGGAGCTGGAAGGGAAGTGGAGCTGCCAGGACCAGAACCGGCACCCATATGGGATCCTGGGCGTGCAAGGCAAGGACCTTAACCACTTGCGCCACCGCGCCGGGCCCTCTTGCTTCTTCTCTTGCTGACAAAATTGAACAGCGAAAGTGGAGGAAGGAACTGAATGGGTTGTGGGTGTTTTCCTTTCCTGGCATTCTCAGAGCTGGGGGTCCAGGTTGTGATCCACAGGGAGTACATGGAGTTGCTGCCAGCGCAGAAACTCGGGGCTACTCTGAATGTGAACCCCAACTGCTGGATATGAGCATTTAATTGGAAATTACCCATAAGCTATTTTATTCTTCAGCATCCCTGATGGCTTCACTTAGACAAGTGTCCACTTCAGAACCCAGGCATCCACTTCAAGAACCAGGATTCCCAAGGGAAGGTAAAAATGTGCAACTCAGGGAGACCTGTACCACAGAGGCTAGGAGGCAAGCTTGGTCACCGTCTCTAAAAGTAGACGTATGATCTCTTTCCAGAGAGAAGAGCACATGAAATGCAAGAAACAACTGGATTATTCTCTCCCAAGAGCGTGACGTTATCAGGAGTGAATAAGATTGAAAAATTATTCTGATTGTTTGCTAAAGAGGAATCCTTAAGATGAAGATTGCAAAAATAAAGAATCAAATTTAAAACCTGCCTCTACTCTAAATAGTGGTTTGTGCTGGAGATGCAGGCCCCCCCACCCTGAATGAAGAGGCCACATTCAAGGTGAGTTTGTTTTGTATCCTTGTGTGTTTTCCAGAGCGATCACTGTGCTGTTGTTTCAGGATATAGCCAATAACTGTGTTGGAAAGAGTCTGAGTTGGACACACAGTGGTTCAGCACCTAAGGACTTGGAGGAAGAAGGGGTCCTGAGTATGGCCACATTGGAAGGTCAAGTGAATGACTGGAAACACCAGATGAACACAGAGTCCAAGGATCAGATCAGGAGATGAAGGGAAAACCAGAGAAGAGTGATTCTGCTTTCCCATCTGATGCTGTTAGCCTGCAACAACTACAAATTCAATAAATTAAAAGTAAACACAAACTTATATGAACTGAAGGTACACTTTTAAAAGTCTCTCTATACAATTATCAGGAAATAATAAATTTCTAGATTATGTTTAGATTGAATGTCCATAGGAAAACAAATAGGTGCATAAAACATTCACAGCAATCTTTATACATAGAATTAAAATCCAGGTGAAATTCTCAGCCAAGGGACATCAAGAATACTCATGCTGGTTCCTTGCTGCCCTCTGGTGGTCATTCCCTAGTTACACAGGCTGGAGATCTTAAAGTGCTTCCCAAGTACTCCTGCAACTAAGAAACTAGTCCGGCCAATCAAACCTATTTCTGTGAGACTAAGAGACAGCCTCTGCTTGCTGGCTGCTGGCAAACACTGCTGGGGAGAGATCCGATTTTGCTGTGCTGGTGTCAACAAAAGTTGCAGTAACAAGACTTTGATTGAATGGCAAAAGACAGAGCAGTGTGCTTCTGGCACAGCATCAGTAAGCAGCTGTCTCTGGCTCAGGGCAGAAAATAGGTAGCACTGAAGGAGACTGACCATTTATCTTTTTAAAAATTATTAGAAAGGCAGGGAGAAAGAGGAAGCGATAGATGAAGGGAGGGAGGAAGCAGGGCAGAGAGAGAGAGGTTTCATTCAACGGCTCACTTCCCAAATGCTCACAAGAGCAGGGGCCAGACCATCACTCACCAGCTCCTAAGGTCCTCCTTAAGCAGGGAGTGGCATCCAAGAGAGCTGTGACTCTAACTGAGGCTCTCGGATTTTGGATGTGAGCACGCAAAGCAGCATCTCAACTGCTGCAATACCCAGGTAAAGTTTATACTACACCACGCACTACTAATGCCCACCTATAAAATACTCCTTAACCCCATTTTTCATGAACTTTGGGAAAGCCTTTCATTTATTAGAGTGAGAACAGATCACCATGGGGTTTAGAGACTTTGTCCTCAAAATGTGACCTAGATTTCATTTTTTTCAGCATTCTAAATGATTCTGGAATGCATATATATCTGTTTAAATTAGATTTTGTACTCTGCATTTAAACCAAAGTCTGCCTGACTGCACTAGGATGCCAGAAATCTAATATTCTTTTTTCCTGTTTTATTTATTTACTGAAAGATTCATTTATTTTCATTGGAAAGGCAGATTTACAGAGATAAGGAGAGACAGAAAGATCTTCCACCTACCAGTTTACTCCGCAAATGGCTGCAATGGTTAGAGCTAAGCCTATCTGAGGCCAGGAGCCAGGAGCCTCTTTCGATTCTCCAACATGGGAGTAGGATTCCAAGGACTTGGACCATCTTCTGCTTTCCCAGGCCATAAACAGAGAACTGGATCAGAAATGGAGCAGCCGGAACACAAACTGGCATCCATACGGGATGTTGGCACTTGGAGGTAGATGATTAGCCAATTGAGCCATTGTGTAGGCCCCAAGAAATCTGTTACTTTTCCATTGCACAGCTTGCAAAGGTCATGTGCTCTTTGCAAGGCCCATCTCAAGCCTGTATTTATTAGATGGATGCACACGGCACTCTTCCCAGAGCATCTCACAGCGCTCTGCATTTGTAACTACTTGCTAACCTCACTTTCTTTCTCATTAGAACAGGGTCTTTTTGAGGCCAGGGAGAAGAGTTTGCGCATCTCTGCAGTCTAGCTTCTAGCAGTATGTGCTCTCCTAGCCTGTGCACTGTCTGTGCCTGCTGCCTGGAAATCTATCCACTCCCTTTCCTCTAACTGTAAAACCTGATGTAGGTGATTTATACTGTTCAATATATTAGCTGCCATGAGTCTATTTATATTAGTTTAATGTGAATAAAAATTTAGTGTGAAGACTCAAGTAATTAACTGGGCATCTGCCACCCACGTGGAGGAGCTGGACTGAGTTCCTGACTCCTTTTTTGGCTTGGCCAAGTCCAGCCATGTGGACATTTGTGGGATCAGCCAATGGAGCAGATTCTCTCTCTGTTTTTCTCTCTCAAATACGTTTTTTTCTTTTTTAAAGATTTATTTATTTATTTTTTATTGGAAAGGCAGATCAAATTTACCCACTGGCTCACTCCCCAAAATGACTGCAACAGCTGGAGCTGAAGAAATCCAAAGCCAGAAACCAGGAGCTTCTTCGGGGTCTCCCATGTGCGTTCAGGGTCCCAAGGCTTTGGGCTGTCCTCCACTGCTTTCCCAGGTCACAAGCAGGGAGCTGGATGGGAAGTGGAGCAGCCAGGACATGAACTTGCACTCATATTGGAGCCAAGCAAGGTAAGGGTTTAGCTATTGAGTTATTGCGCTAGGCCCTTAAATACATTTTTAAAATTGTTTTGGGGTCAGTGTTACAGTCCTACGCATGTCCCAGCTGCTACACTTCTGATCCAGCTTCCTGCTAATGCCTTTGGTAAAGCAATAGAGGAGGATCTTAGTTCTTGGGAACCAGCCTCGCAGGTAAAGCTCTTGGCTTTTGGCTTTTGCCTGGACTAGCACTAGCCAATGCAGCCATCTGGGGAGAGAACCTCTAGATGAATGATTTTTTTCTCACCATAACTCTGGAAAAAAAAAAACCCTGAAAATTGTTTAAGGGGTGGGTCTTTGGCATAGCAGTTAATCATTGCTGGGGATGCTTGCATCCCATGTCAGAGTTCCTGAGTCAACTCCGAGCTGCTCTGCTTCTCATCCAGTGTCCTGCTAATACGCACCTTGGGAGGGGAAAGCGATTCAGGTACTTGGGCACCTGCCATGAAAGTGGGAAAGCCAGATGGAGTTCTGGGCTCCTGGTTTTGGCCCAGCTCTGCCTGCTACGGGCATTTGGGAAGCAAAGCAGCAGATGGGAATCAATTTCTCCCCCTCTGCCTTTCAAATAAAAAGAACATTAACTAGAATTTTTTTCAAAATATCTATAATTTAGAAGTCAGTCATCAAACATAATGGACACATTTTTAAAGATCAATACACAATGATCTGCTGTACTGGACCAGTCCACAATGTAGACTATTTATGCCATCAACCTGCTGGCAGGTGCTGATGTGACTGGATTAAGGCTCTGGATTTTATCCTCCATCAGTATTCTGTGCATTTCCTACAGGCCACTTACCAAAGTTAAAAGAGAATTTATACATGTTCTCTCCAAATAAACTATAGGCCCTGTGATGATAGAAGTCAGATCTATTTTGTAGGCCAATACAGGCCTAGTGCTTAATATAGTGCATGACAAGTAATGAGTCCTAAAGATATGTTTTCAAATGACAAATGAATTAAATTATCCCCTAGAAAATATGAAAATTCTAATCCTTGCAAATTGCAGTCTAAACTAGATATATCATCAGTGGGTTTATGGGGAGACACATGCTTATGCATTCAAATTCCAAACAACTTTCTTTTCAGAAATTAAAAAGTAAAAAAAAAAAAAATCTAACTAGCGGACCCATTACTCTGGTAATATAAAAAGAAAGATATTCCAAATTTCAAACTGTGAAACAAATCTTGAAAGAGCATTTAGCATTGTTCTAGCTAGTCATGACCAATTTAAACTAAATGATTTCAGTTGTAACCAAAAATAATACTTGTGATAAGTGAGGAACAATTTCATATATTTAAAATTATAATCATTAAAATTTTATTTTGTGGTATAATGAGAAATCAAAACATGCTATTTTATTCTAAATTAAGCAATAACATACTTTGAAAAGAATAAGTAGTAGAGCTAGGTTGATTAAAACAGCCCACAAATGAGTAAAAGTAGAATTTTAAAAAATGAAATTGCGATTGTCACAGACTGCATTGGAAATCCTGACACTTGGTAATCTTAACAGTGATCAGAAACGGTAGCAGCAAGCAGTATTGTCGCCCAGTGCTGGAGTGGTGCTCTGCTCATATCTATTGTCACTGGGATTTAACTTTAGCTAGTACATCCACATCGGCTTTGTCTGCCTCACCAAGACTTTTGTGATGACTGACAACTAGAATATTGTCTTCCTTTTTGCGAGGCTTCTGGAAACCTCCTTCTTTGGCAAGAAGAGGAGCTTTGAGGCCAACAAAATTGTGCACATCTTGCATCTTCTTAAGCAGCCATTCCACCCTATCCATCACGGTGAGATGTTTGCCCAGGCTGTGCATCAGCTGGATTTCACTCACAGCTCTCTTCCTGGGAGAGAGGGAGAGAGAGAGGGGCTCACGTCCACGTTATAAAGCAGCCTGAACAATTCCATTCCCGCGCCCTCACCATGCAGTATGGGCTGCAGGACTTACTGAATGGGCTTCCCGTCCAACTTGGCCAGAAAACAAACTGCAAACATGACAATCATTACTTTAGCCATGTCTTGTGCAGACATCATCTCTAAAAGGGAAAGCAAAGTGGGGACATATTTAAAGTATCCTTCACATTCCAGCTATATAAATATATATTTACAGCTTACCGTGAAACTGCACCACCATAAACAGTGTGAAAATGAGTTGGTTTCCATGATAGTGTTTTGGAATCAGTCTTTTTATTGTATGGATACATTAGTGTATTATAAATATTTGATATAGAAATTACATTAGTATTACTTTCTTACATACATTTTCAGATTGGGGGGGCAAGTTTTAATATGTGAATTTTAAGCAACAAGAGAATGAAAGATCATAGTTTTGAGAATTTCCTCCTGTACTTTATGTTGATTATGCCTCTAAGTGGTCATAATTTGCTTGAAAATGGCAAATTCTCTTAATTACATAAATTTTCAGCACTGTTTGTTTGCTTAGCAAATCCTGTTTTCGTAGGTAAACTACTTTTTGGGTACTGTAATAATAATTGTGCATGTCAAATTAGTAGGCTCTGATTTAAAGACTTTTTCTTTTTAATTAACACACACCAGCATTAAAAAGATTGTGTCATTGCACTTAAAAATTACAGAATTAAATGTTATATGAATTTCAAGCTTCAATTCTTAATAAAATGCCTATGTCATCTTATTTTCTCTATTTTAGTAGGGATTGTTTCTTTTCTTTCTTTCCGATTCATTTATTTATTTCGAAGGCAGAGTTCCAGAGGGACAAAGAAGAGACAGAGGGAGAACTTCCATCTACTGGTTCCCAAACGGGGGCTGGGCCAGGCTACAGCCAGCAGGCAGGAGGTCCACGCAGATCTGTGTGTGTACTTTGGCCATCTTCTCACGTGCATCAGCAAGGTGCTCAACCAGAAGTGGAGTACCTGGAACTTGAACTGGGAACAAATGGGATGCTAGCATCACAGACAGTGGCTTAACTAGCTGTGCCACAGCTTTGGCCCCTAGCAGCTATGTTCTGGCATAATTTTACAGTTCCTTTTGCTCATGTAACTTTTTATATCACTATAAAATGACCATGTCTTAATCTGAGTTTCAATAATTGCAAAAGCAGATACTATAGTAGTTTTTCCCAGTGCTTGGAGTTTGTCCAGCATACACACAGGGTGAGTTAGGTACTCCTATTTTGAAGAGAAACTACATCATTTAGAAGTAATGCAGCAAACATAAAAGCCTGCCACATTTCCGTTCACTGTGTACTGCCATGGGGCCATAAAGGAATATTTTCTTTTTGGTTTACGTTGGAAACTTGCCCTGGAGCTGGAGGACAGCAGCAGTGGCTTCTTGTGCTGGCTGTGTCACTTCGCCTATTGACCTCTGACGTCACTGTTCTGCTTCCTTGTTCTTAATGGTGAGTGGGCTTCTTACATGCATATTACAGAAAAGACTGGAAAGTGGCCGCTCAGCACTCTAGAAACTTACACATAACTTACACATAATTTTCAGGAAATTTTAAAATGTTGACACTTGTATAAAGGGAAAAATTATTTCATAACTAAACTAAGTTCTTCCAATTTTAGTATTCACACTGAGACCCTAGAAGCAATAAAACACACAATTAACATAAGGTTACTCTGAAGGAAAAACTGAATTTTAACTTTGCTTAATGAATTTATATTGATTATTTAGATCTGAAAAACTCATTCACTGTCAGTTTGTTTTGTTTCAACATTTTGATAGACTACTAAAATACTAGATTTTGGTTATTCCCCACCCCCCACCCCCAGTTTCAGAGGAGTTGAGAAAATGCAAGGCATCTAACTACAAAGACACATGGTTTAGAGTGTTGTTAGCATGAACTTACTCTAAATGGTGACATTTAGCCACCAACATAATTCAACCCACTTAAGATTTCACTGTGAATGAATAGTTTATTTGTAGAAAATGGTCAACAATAAATAATTGCTTGATTATCAAAACTCTCATTAGGTTTTTTGTTTGTTTGTTTTTTAAGAAGGAAAGATAAAACTGCAAGGGACTTACCCAACAAGGACGTAGGACAAGGTCTTCTTTCAGGTCAGTGGCAGCTGATGCTCTATGGATGTCGAGTTACGTGAGGATGCTGATGCAGAGCAGTGGATCAGCAAATGGGACGCTCACCACAGGTCTTCGGCTCTCTGAGGAACGCTTTTATCCTTGTGGAGGCTGCCACTCCCACCTCTCTGGAGGTCAACTGCAAGATCACACACCCCTATTGGGCAGGACCCACTCGTCTGAACTTTCAGATTTTTGGATATGAAAAGGAAAACAGTGTTGGACTGGGAAAAGTGCTTATGCAAAGATTTCTAGCAAATATTGAACTTCATAGAAAAATTCTGACTAGACTAAGGAATCTGAATTCATGCTTTTAAAAAGTCTGACATCAAAGATTTGCGATTTGTCATCTTTTCAGTTTGAAAATAAGTATATTTGCTATACTGTTGGTACAGTTGTTATGCTAAGCAGTCACATATGCTATGCTAACTTTACAAACCATTGTCAACAAATTCATAGTATCCACCTGGTCATCTTCTCAAAACTACACCTTTTTTTTAAAGAACGTGTTAAAAATAATCAGAAAATGCTCTTAGGACATAATCCATCTTAAAAGCTTCAAAAGTGAAATTATTTTAAAGTTTATATAACTTGCATTCCATTTATGCACTTTCATCTGCAATAATATATTATTATTATTATGCATTATTGCAGATTAAAATACGTAGACAATAATAACTCTACTAAGATACCACATGACATTATTTACTGAGTCTTCACAGAGGTATCCTGCAGTAGGAACTATTATCATCCCCATTTTCACATAAGGAAAATTAGACTTGGAAATGAAGAACATGGATGTCAACTGTATTACTCCTGAGCCATGTGGATTGTCACTGCCTCATTTTTTTCTGTTAAAATAAGCCCTTCTTGGCTTCCAGTCCCCCTCAGGAATAGCTTGCCTAGCCCTTTGCAATCTCTTTGTCCAGGAGTTTGGTTTTGAGCCTCATTTCCCGCCCCCCCTGAGGATGAGAGGCCTGCCCCAAAACTGAACGGAGATCTGCTGCCATCTGCCGAGGTCCAGCCATTGTCTCAGCTTGGTCTTCACATAGCAGAGGCCCTGGAAGGCCCTGATAGCCCCGAGGCTCATTTAGACAACCTGCTGCCCATCGAAAGAGCTTGTTCCAGAGCTGGCTCAGCGCTCTTAGGTCTGGTTCCACCCAAGTTTCACATCATTCCTCGTCCTATGAGTCTTTGCCAAGGCTTGACTCTACTTCAAGGAAGAGTCAGTACAGGCTTAAAAAGTACCTATATGGAATCTCGAAAGAGAGCTGTATGATACTCCTGCTCTCAGAAATTCCCCACATGCATTCCCAGGCGCCGTTTTGGTAAGGTTAGAGATAAACTGGAACATATGCTGAGGACATAAAGCAGTTTGGTGAAATGTTGGGAAGTGTGACCTACAAGACATACTTGAATAAAAATGGGAAGCCAACCTCTGGAAAAGACAACACTTGGGGTAAGCATTTATTTATTTATTCATTTTACTTCTCCAAATTTCTTTTTATTATATTTTGACAATCTTTATATAGTTAATTAGGGTACAAAGGTTCAAGGGCTACAGGAAAGTGGATAAGACTATAATTTCCACATTGTTTCCTTCACATATGGAAAAGGGGGAGGTAAAGGGAGAAACCCCACCCAGTCTCCTGCCCACTCCCAGGTCCCTGATGTGGGGCATGCTCTGAGGATCTTGCTCAAGTGGTTTTGATAGTTCAACATTTATGAATTGCTGCCAATCTTGCCACTCCAAGCACGATGAGGTTGTTGAAGAATCCACTGATTGACATAGTCCATCATAGAGTCTCTGTTGCCCAGTTTTTCTCTGCCAACATATAAGCATTGTTTGACAACATTCTATCTTCACGGGATGTGTTAATTGCTGAATGACTGAGAGACACGCTGAGCCCTCAAACATAACCCTTAACTTTAACCTAACGCGTCAGGTGTTCTAAGAACAACGACTTACAAAGGTATGGGGGTGGGCGCTGAGCCCACCCTTGGCATTTTGGGAAGCTGTTGTACTGAGAGGCTGCAGTGTCCTCAAGGGTGGCTTTCCGACCCGAGAAGTGAGAACGGACAGAAGTGTGTGTTTCTCATTTTACAGAAGATACTTGACCTTCCAGCAAAGAAGAGATGTCACTGCCAAGATTGGCCACAAAGTTTTATCTGAAGCATCAGGCTCTGCAGCTGCAGAAGGCGGCTACGGGCAATGTGGGCATCGGAGGCTGATGACATGGGAGAAGAGCTGAGCATGCGCTTTTGCTTTGAAAAGCTCAGCCTTTCTCTGAAGCTCAGGTCAGACAACCTAGTATCTTCCTCACATGTACCATTGACTCATGGGATTCAGCAACAAAAAGAAACCTCTAGAGTTGGATGATCCAGGTATAGCTTTCTGAGTTACATATTTTGTGTACATATGGGATGGTGTCTTTAAAAACATCAATCTGTTGAAATATATAATTGATATACAAAAGCGTGCACTATATTTAATGTGTACAATGTGATGACTTTGGGCATATGCAAACACCCATGATAACCTCATGTCCCCAAATTCCCTTGGGTGACCTCCTCACTCACTTCTGGAAAAGCATTTATCATGAGACCTTCTCTGTAACCAAAATTGGAAGTACATATTGCAGTATTATTAACTATAAGTGCCGAGTTGTACAATGGACCTCTACAACTTCCTCGCTGTTAACAGTATTTCTCTCACAGTGTTTTCTCTCACAAAGGGCTTTTGCTTTAAGCCCTTTGCGGGCTCTTCAACTCCTGAGCCCCTTCTGAGCTATCAGAAGACACTGCCTGAGAGCTTCCCTTTACTGGTTCCAAGCTTGTCTGTAGTTACAGGCACGTTTGAACAAATGTTCAAAGAAAGTGAAAGGATTTTTGGTAGTAATCAGCTCCTTATTTTCCAGAGTTTTAAAATCCACGTGTTGAAGTAGACTATGGCCTTTGCTCCTTCAAGGAGGGAAGAACTT